AAATATCTAACTGTCCGGATGTTTTATTATGTGTTATTACCAGCTTGGTATTTACTAAGGTTCATTACCACCCAATCAAACAGAAATATCTAACTGTCCACATAATAAAATACCCAGTAAATACCAAGCTGGTAATAACAGGGTTCATCACTACCCAATCAAACAGAAATATCTAACTGTCCACATAATAAAACATCCAGTAAATACCAAGCTGGTAATAACAGTTCATCACTTACCAATAATACAGAAATATCTAACTGTCCACATAATAAAATACCCAGTAAATACCAAGCTGGTAATAACAGGGTTCATCACTTACCAATAATACAGAAATATCTAACCATACAAATCCTATTATAAGGAGACCAACCAAAAAACAATAGAATAATTTCTAATGACACAATAATAAAACACACATTTGTGAGAAGCTTCCTGTTTTCTATATTCCTTTGTACCTTTAACGATCAAAACATCCTTAGTTGAATATGCCCCACCCATACTCTTTATTTTTACATTACAGGAATAAATGCTCTACCTTGTAAATCTTCAGATGATAAAAACATCACAAGTGTATTAAATCTGCCAATTTCTGTCAAGTTTTTCAAATATGGTAGAACATCCAGTTGTTCTCTGTAATGAACAAAATTACAATTACACACACCAAAAAATAAGAAGATCATGGATATTCTACAAACACAAAGACTATAAATTAGTTGTGATCAGAAAAATGAATGAAGAGTAAGATAAAAAACTATTAAAGCAATGAATACACTGAATCATAAACAATAGCTGAAATGCTGTTAACTGTCTCACTACAGGATCAATCCCAGGGACAGAACTCATAAACATTTTGTGCTTCTTATAGTTTTTGTACTAATACTTTTAATACATTAAAATTTGGCAAACTTTTAGTAAATATTATTTTTACTAAAAATTTGTACGTGAATATACATACAGTATTTCTATAAACTAGTCCGAGTGCTAAGTGACTTCCATGTTAAGATTAAAAATACTTTTCTCCATCTCAAAAATCTCCAATTTTTTTTGTAATCTCTAGAATCTCCTAAATAAATGTGAATCGTTTTTATTTCATTAAAACTTTATATTTTATCTGTTATTTTCTCTAACCTAAATTTATATAAGGTTGGTCAGCTTGACTGACCTCGTAACCTTGTTTTGTGACTAAGCTGTATATCTCATTTTTGTGACTAGTGTTACATACCTCTTGAACACAATACTACAACAGAGCTCTGACACAGCAAACACAGTAGTATGATACTGTATTTGTTCTATTTATTATAACTTAGGTCACAACTGACCATGTTAAAAACTTCACTGTTCTTTATGAAAATTATTATTTAAACTTTCCCTATGTGTATTTAAGTATAACTGCAGAGTTTTATTCTACTGTTAAGAAATAATTTAAGCTCTAAACTTTTTCAGAAACATTTATGAAACAAAATTGTACAGACATAGACTTACTTTAGGAAATGGCTCTTTAAGAGTGAGATGATATCTGAAAAAACTTCTGTTTCTAAGGAGTGCTTGAAAATCTCAGGGTATTTCTCTGGTGAGATTTGCTGAAACAGAGGTGGAATTTTAAAATCAATTTGATGAAAACATTAAAATATAATTACAAAAGAAACCTTAGAGATTGGATTAAATAAATGATTTACAAAAACATCGACATTAAAATTCTAGAATCCAGTGTTCAGTGGTAGTTGTTTTTATCCTTCTTTAGAGCTACCATTGAAACATGGCTTTATAATAGGTGTCAGAATTAATATGTTGAACAGCTCTGTAAAAAAATGTAATCGTGTTCAAGCTGTGAAAATGTTTAACAAAATTATCAATAAACGTTTTTTACATACCTTTAAGTATTCAAACAGTTTGTCTTTAGAATGTCGAAGCTTTCTCCAATCAGCTTGAAACTGGAAAGCAGTGTGGGGGCATCCAGGGATTACCTGGACACAAGTTAAATCTTTCACATCCTGTGTAACTGCATGTGAAGGTTTTGGTGGGACATTTTGCTGTTGGCTGGTTGTATTTACTGTATATTCTACAGCATTTGATGGCTCAGAAAGTGGCTTCACAGAAGCTTCATGACATACTAAAGGTTGCTGAGAGCCTTGCAACTTAGAGATGGGATCAAACCAGTCACTTTCGATTTCTTGGATTTCAAGTCTTCGAAATGGTTTCTTTAAAATAGAAAGTAATGTAATAAATACCAAGGAATTCATTAAATCTAAATTTACAAAGCACTTTTACCTTCAATATTTATTTAATTAGATATAGAGTATATGTAGCTTATAAAAAGACATAGGAAATGGCAAGACATTAGCACAAATAAGCCCATATGTAGAACTTTATGTTAGTAAAAAAATCAGCTGAATGAGGTAATAAAGTTAAGATAACTTCTAAACAAAATGAAACACCATAAAAAAGGAAAAAACCTGTCTGAATTTGATCAGTCCCTCCAGTTTTGCTTTTCCATAAACATTAATTAATTTCAAAGTAATAAAAGAAAAAAATATTACTAATAGAAATCTAGATTAAATTATAAGAGCTAGATACTTTCATATGGTCCCTGTTGATGTCACTTTATGCATAGTTCACAACCACCTGAAACATTTCACATCAAAGATACATACTTTTACCACACACTAGAGAAACATGGTCAAGGATGTGTATGAGTTTAACAGCAACACGAGGTTGGAAAATATTTACTTCATTACCACATAATGATGGATTCATAGACACATGGAGATCACTCAGTTTTAACAGCTAGCAATTGGTCACAACATTTTTTATGGCCACGTGAGCATGACCACAGGTTTCATAACTATATGAGAATGATGACAGGTTTCATGCCTACATGAACATGGCTATTGACTTTACATCCACATAAGGACAGCTACAAGTCTCGCATTCACACAAAGATGGCTATAAGTTTAACAGTTACACAAGGACATCCGAGTTTCATAGCCACAAAAGAGGGCTAAAGGTTTCACAGCCACAAAAGAGGGCTAAATGTTTCACAGTCACATAAAGAAGACTAAAGGTTTCACAGGCACATAAATAAGGCTAAAGGTTTCACAGGAACATAAATAAGGCTAAAGGTTTCACAGGAACACGAATAAAGCTAAAGGTTCCACAGGCACATAAAGAAGGCTAAAAGTTCCACAGGCACATAAAGAAGGCTAAAAGTTTCACAGGCACATAAAGAAGGCTAAAAGTTTCACAGGCACATAAAGAGGGTTATAAATTTGACAGGCACATAAAAAAGGCTAAAGATTTCACAGATACTCAAAGAGGGCTATAGGTTCATATCAAAACAAGAAATGCTAAAAGTTCTATAATCACACAAAGATGAACTGCAACTACACAAGGTTAACAACACATTTTATAGACACACAGTGACAACTAAGGGTTTCATAATCATGTAAGAATCACAATATTTCACAGTCACATGAGAATGACAACAGGTTTTACAGTCATGAGAATGATATGTTTCACAGTGATGCGAGAATGAAGTTTCACAGTCATGTGAAAATGATTACAAGTATCATAGTCACATAAGTATAGTAACAGGTTTTTGAGACTGATAGCTTACTTCTACATGTACAAGTTCTGTTGAAAAATACCTAAATAACCTTACAACAGCTATAAGATACTTATAAAACACTGTCAATCACCCATACCACTGTTATAAAAAAACTTGTAATAACCTTAACTACTGTTATAAAACACTGTCAATCACACATACCACTATTATAAATAAACTTGTAATAACCTTAACTACTGTTGACACTTACTACTGTTTTAAAACATTGTCAATCACCCTTACCACTGTTATAAATAAACTTGTAATAACCTTAACTACTGTTGACACTTACTACTGTTTTAAAACACCTATATTAACCTTTACAATTGTTATAAAACACTTCTAATATACTTTACCATAGAAGAACATAGACATGAAAAGCACCATCAAACCAATAGAATTGGAACACAACATATTGAGCTTCAACAACTTTTCGCTACAAATACTAGAGCATTGGACATCTTAAACCTTTACACCAAAAGCTATACATTCAATGCAGAAAGGATCAAGAAGAAACAAGTCCAAAAATTCAACAGACTTACCAAGAAAGATAATCCTATGTCTACAAAAACAGTTCATAATTACAGTTTGAAACTACTAAGTGATACAGAAAACAAGATTCTTAACCTGAGTCTAAATTTTGTCATACAACCTAACATAGTTCCAACTGTTAATATAGCTGCAACCTTATAATCTGCTGCACAAAACCTATGGCTGAACAATTCTGACATCAAATTTACACCATCCTCAGGAATGCCAAGAAACCAAAACCAAACATCACAAAACAGGAATGCACCATGCTGAACCATCTAGAACAGGACAACACTATCAATATTCTACCAGCAGACAAAGGAAACAGTACAGTCATCCTAGATGTCAAGCATTATGACACAAAGGTTAAGTAGTTACTAGACCAATGTCAATACCAAAAGATCACCAATAACCCTACAGAAAAGGCAGAGAGAGACTCATCAATAGAACATTGAACCAACTTAAGAAACAATATTTAATCAACAAGAAGCTAGCCAAAGACTTAAAAACCAACAATAATTTTCCCCCTCAATTCTACAGACTACCTAAGGTATACAAACCTAATATACCTTTAAGGCCTATCATCAGTGCCATATACTCACCTTGCCATCAACTAGCTACCTTCTTGGTACCTATCCTATCTCCACTACGAGGGAATAACAAACATTACATTCACAACTCGAAAAAATCTCATAGAACAACTCAGAAAGGTACACATCAGATCCCAGGATATTCTCATCAGTTTTGGCATCACAGACCTGTTTACCAATGTTCCTACCTCAGAAACCATTCATATCACCAGACAATGACCGTTGAATGACAACTCTCTACCACACAAAACTGACATGAAGATAGACGCCATCATAGAACTAACGAATATTTGCCTACAATCAACCGACTTCCAATACGAGGAATTCTACAAACAAACAGGTGGTCTAGCCATGGAATCACAACTCTCTCCAATCATAGTAGACATTTTCATGGACTTCCAATACAGTGAGGAATTCTAAACAAACAGATGGTCTAGCCATGGAATCACCACTCTCTCCAATCATAGCAGACATTTTCATGGACTTCCAATACGAGGAATTCTATGAACAAACAGATGGTCTAGCCATGGAATCACCACTCTCTCCAATCATAGCAGACATTTTCATGGACTTCCAATACGAGGAATTCTACAAATAAACAGATGGTCCAGCCATGAAATCACCACTCTCTCCAATCATAGCAGACATTGTCATGGACTTCCAATACGAGGAATTCTACAAATAAACAGATGGTCCAGCCATGAATCACCACTCTCTCCAATCATAGCAGACATTTTCATGGACTTCCAATACAGTGAGGAATTCTACAAACAAACAGATGGTCTAGCCATGGAATCACCACTCTCTCTCCAATCATAGCAGACATTTTCATGGAAGATTTTGAAGAAAGAGCCCTCTCATCCATACATATAAAACCAAGTTTCTACAGATGTTATGTTGATCACAGCTTTGTTATCTGGCCCCATGCTCATGAAACCTTACCAACCTTCCTAGAACAGTATAATTCTATAGATGAAAGAATTCCCTTTACCATGGAAGGAGAGAAACAAAACATCCTACCATTTCTTGACATACTCATCAGCTGCCAAGAGAGAAAAATCACCACAACTGTATACAGAAAACCACCCACACAAACAGATACCTACATTTCAAGTCCTATCATCCAACCTCGATAAAACATGGTATAATCCAATACCTAAACAAGAGAGCAGAAAACATTTGTGATAAGACATCCATCAAAACAGAACACCAAAAGATCATAGTGTTTTAAACAGAACAGTTAAACATCCTCCTTCATCAAAAATTCCCTGAAGACCACAACAGAAAGAAAAGATCAGAAAAACATTACCACTACTACCATTTACCTCCCCTACCTGCAAAATGTCAGTGAAAAACTTAAATGCATAGTCAAGAAATTCAACATAGTAGTCCGGTGGAAATCTTACAAAACATTAAGGTCCATTCTGGTAAAAAACAAACAGCAACCTACCAATGAGAAACACAAAAACATCATTTATGAAATTCTGTGTTTCTGCAATGAAACGTACATTGGAGAAACAGGAAGAAGACTTGCAACGATAATAAAGGAACATAAAGACAGTACAAGACTCATGAAAACACAAAATTCAGCCACTGCAGAACATTCCATGTCAACTGGACACAAAATAAACAGGGAAAAAACTAGAATCATTATACAGACAAATTTTGGAAGACAAGAAAAATTAAAGAATCCTTTTACATTAACACAATAAAACCTTCACTAAACAGAGTTTCCAGATTAGAGGCGAGTAACCTGTGGCTATCATTGTTTGAATCTACAAGAAGTCTCTCAGGCAATCAGAAACAGGGATAAACCAACCATTAATAACATGCTCTCCACAATCCACCAAAATACTGTAAAGACTGACAACACCATAAACACACTGACCTGAAAGCAAAAGGTAGAATACTTTCAAACATCATCCTCTACATTTGTGTTTCTACAACAGGCAGTTGCTGTCCATTCAACTAAATTTCATCAACCCTTACCACTGTTATAAAACACTTTTAATAACCCTTACCACTCTTATAAAACACTGTCAATCACCCTTACCACCATTATAAAACACCTCTAATAACCCTTACCACAGTTATAAAACACTTCTAATAACCCTTACCACTGTTATAAAACACTGTCAATAACCCTTATCATTGTTATAAATAATTCTAATAACCCTTACCACTGTTGTAAAACACTGTCAATCACCCTTTCCATTGTTATAAATATTTCTAATAACCCTTACCACTGTTATAAAACACTGTCAATCACCCTTACCACTGTTATAAAACACTGTCAATCACCCTTACCACTGTTATAAAACATTCCTAATAACATTTACCACTGTTGAAAAACAATTCTAATAACCCTTACCACCGTTATAAAGCAGTATTAATCGTCATAAAATTTTGTACCTTTGACCTAAGATGAGGTGGCTTGAAGATTGGTTCAACAATACTGCAAGTGTCTTGTTGTGAATTTAATGATTTGTTCTGCACACTGGGTAAACTAGTTAGTAGAACAGATTCTTCCTTCAGTGACTTGTTCTGCACACTGGGTGAACTAATTAGTTTAACAGATTCTTCCTTCAGTGACTTGTTCTGCACACTGGGTGAACTAATTAGTTTAACAGATTCTTCCTTCAGTGACTTGTTCTGCACACTGGGTGAACTAATTAGTTTAACAGATTCTTCCTTCAGTGAATTATGTGCTGAAGTTTCTACATTCTGTGGATCAGATGCTTCCTGATACTTTGAGTTATCCGATGGAACTTTATTGAGCTCCTACAGTAAAAATGTATGAAATAAATATATTCAATTTCCTCTTACAATTAATATAAAAAAAGTTCAAATGACAGATAATTTAATATGCAAGTTCTTTCTGTTTACACACGAAACAAGTTAAAGAAATTTATACTGAACATTTCTGTAGTTATGTAATAACTTCTACCAGAAGAGATGCCAAAAACCTTCATGAAAAATAAAAACTATTGTTTTATTGTGCACATTTAAATGATATTTTTACTTTGTTTTAATGTTAGTCTTACTTGCGAATGCCCGAAGAACTACAAAAAGCATCTACATCCACTCTACTTTAGGTTATCAGATAAGTATTCTCTGTTAGCAGTGTTTTCTGTCCTCATAGATAGTGGTTTAGACAGTAAAAAATGACACAGACATAAATTAAATATTTAATAACAGTGAGAAATGTGGATACACATTCAGAGCTTTCACTGTTTTCTAAGAAAACAAAAACAAAAAACAGTGACATGAAGTGTTCTTCTTTCTTGACTATTATCTTATTGCACTAAACTGAGTGGTTATATAACAATTCAATAATTTCACTTAGTTTAAATCTTAACGACTGAAACAGAAAAGTTTCACACTAAGTATTATAACACCATGCAATCACTTCAATCACTTCTCTTCTTACATAGATATTACATTAGGCTAATGCTTTTATGTTCATCTAACAACTTCTGATTATAAAATATGACTACGAGGATGAAGAATAGATGACTTACAACTTAATACATGATGTTAACCAACTCGTCACAGGCACCCTTTATTGCACGTAACGGGGTTATGAGCAAGATACATTCAAAATTTAATTAAGCTACTTTTTTGTTTATCTTATACTGATTAGTAAAGCATAAACTCATAGTTAATAATCCATATTTTAATAGTATACAAGTTTTAGGTTCTTAATTTTATAAGACAATATTAAAATAAATCCTGAATTCACCCTAGTGTGAGAAATGGGACATTTTTTCTGCAGGCATCCCCTCTTTCCTACTTTATTCACCACCCCCTCCAATAAGTACAATATTTAACACAAATTACTCACTATAAAATCATCACTGAGACAAAGCACAATCTTTATAGCCTTCAACTTTTTTGGTAACAGATGCATCAAATAAAAATCAGACCCCTCTTTCCACACCCACCTGTTACATCCTCTCTTTCAGGAATTGTTAATAGTTCTCTCTCATGTTTAATTTATATTATCTATAAAAAATAGAAAGCCAAGGTGTTCATCTATCAAATGACATACTAAATTAAATCTTTTTTGAACAGAGAATTGTCAATTTCTCTTTTAGTACAAGCTTCATTCCCATGGGAAAGATATTGACTAGCTTGGATGAATTTATAACGGCTCTTGCCGCATAGTTAGAGAGCCAGAAAAATTGTGATAGATATGAGGCATTGTCTAAATTTTGCATGTTATTATTCTATGTTTTTTGGTGCATTATTTAATTAAATAGAAATTATTTAGTGCACCATTAATACAAAAAAGTAGGGTTAAGTGTTATTGACAGTCAGCAGCAAAAAAAGGTCCATGTAAGTACTTTATTTCTTGTTTTTCATGTGTATTTTTTACTTATTATTATAAAAGTAACTCAAATGTAAAAATAGGAATCTCTTTAGGTTAGTTAGGGTTAGATTAGGTGAAATAAAGCTACATTATAGAGATCCACCTAAATTAACTCTCAACCAAGGAACTGAAGTTATAATTTTCCTCTACTGAAAATGTATTTCCGACAGGTACTTACCTCCTCTCACAAGATTAGCTATTCTTGTTCAGTGCTGCTCTCTATATGCAAACATTTTTCTTTACACATGCCACAAGCCTTCCACTCCCCCCTATTGGAATTGCTGTATTCCACATTTTTCTCTCATGCATATCATCATGCATTACCTCATAACCAATAGGAGCATGATATGCTCATATGACTCTCTCTATGCTCCTCTACCAAACAATTACTTCAAAGTTTGGCAGAAGATGTTAGCACTGGAGAAAAGTTGGGAGGAAGGGGGGGTGTGTGTGAGAGGAGGAAAGTAACTATTGGAAATACATTTTCAGTATACAAAAATTATAACTTTTGATATGGTACTTACCCCCCCCCCCCTCACAAAATTAGTTAGAATCCCACATTGAGAAGGAGGAGGGACTGGTGCAATAGAATGACAGAAGTACCTCCCAAAAGCATCCAAAAGATACCCCTGAAAACGAGAGATACAGATCGGAAGATCAAAAGAAGAGAACCGCACCACTTCTGAGGCCTGAGAAAAAATGCTGGTCGTTGATGTAACCCCCGAAGTAGTAACATTAACCTCAGAATTCATTGCACAGAAAAGGTTCACCAAATTCGAGTGCAAAAATAAAGCAACTAGAATTAGCTGATAAATACTAATATTGAAAATCCATCAGAATTAATTCTCAACCGTTATTTACTTTTCCAGTAGAAAATAAGTTACAGCTACATTAGAGAGATCCATCAGAATTAATTCTCAACCAAGTAAATAACTCCAGTAGAAAATAAGTTACAGCTACATTAGAGAGATCCATCAGAATTAATTCTCAACCAAGTAAATAACTCCAGTAGAAAATAAGTTACAGCTACATTAGAGAGATCCATCAGAATTAATTCTCAACCAAGTAAATA